CGATTTCAGCCTAGCACGATGTTTGTCACACAAATATGACTAATTATTTTGACACCCCATAACTAATCTGTTATTCAAGTGTTGGTTTGTAGGGATTTCATTGGTTTCAGGATTTAATCATGAGCTGACATTAGTTAGAGAACCATTGGAAAACCTGGGAATACTGGACAGCTGTTTCGTCCTAGTTTGGGGATCTTCAGCAGTACACACCCACCGGGATTCCAACCCAGGACCTTCTGGTTACAAGGTGAGCTCGTATACCATTGAGCCACTGGGACTCAATCCAATGGTCCTTGAATTCTAACTTCTGCCAATTCACGACATAGTGCGACCGCTAGCCAATGTCTTCGGGGAGTATTTGTCCTCACACCCGACCAGCTGCACCCTACTGGTCACGACTTCGCACTGTTATTCTACGTTAAGAATATATCCGCCGCATAACTGGCCTTTATTGTAACGACCACAAATATTATGTTTTATAATTGTAAGAACCTGAAGAGAAATTATTGAGAATATTCGTCGTTCAGATTGACTTTTAATTCATAATATTGGGAATATTTCACACTATCAAATTGATGATATCTTGTGCTAGACTATAAACAACAATGTCGGAAATCATACTGAGTCCTCCCGTCCAGAATAGGACAATATCTAGAGAAATACTCCTCGGAATGTAGTCCTTCCGACAATCATTATTATTATTATTGTGTGGCGCATCCTTCTTAGTGCCATTTTGTACCAAGTTTTTATGCGTTTAAATAAATAATAATCTCAAAGGAAATTATAAGGTAATAAAGAGATAACTACACTAATCTTTTTGTGTTATCATTTCGTACCAGTAGGCTCTTACATTATCACATCAAAACTCCACCCTAGAGGCTTAACTCAGTTCTGGTTGGCTAGTTTTAACCAGGAATATAGTTAATTCCCGGAAGTGAATTGTCGACGAATATTACCTCACCCTGTATTCGCGATTCAACCTTATCCCACTCAAGTCACGTGAGTTAGTGTTTTGATGAACCACAGACAGCAAAACTAGTCCTATCTTTTGGATTGCAATGGAGGACTGTTCCCACTTAGAATGAATGAGTGATACTTAGTTGTATATGGGTTAATGCACATTGCAGAACAGGTGAGCAAATAGTTTATAAACTAAGAGTACCTATGCATATATTATTTATATGTATATATATACGGATATATACCCGTGTGATTTAAGTTGTCAGAGAGTAGGTTTGTGGCAGAACCACGAGTAGCAATAAGTTCACGCAGAATACATCTCTTCGAAAATCAACGGATCAGTTCGTTATTGTCCGCTGCCTTCGATTCGAAAATAGTAACGACGAAGTATCACTGTCATAGGTTCATCAGCGTGTCTTATTCACGGGTGAATTATTTGTTGCGACAAAGCTTTATTGGCTTTCCTTCCATGAATGCACTAGGTGCGTTCTCATCCGTTCTCCTACAGTAGCACATGTGGCTGATATCCTGGTACATCCAGTTTTATGGGACTGAATGAGGTGGCATTGTGGTTTAATACATTGTTCCATTCAACTCTCACCTAGTTGATTGGGTCCAGGAGTAGAATTCCAATTCACCTGCTACTTCAACCTAAGCAAACTGACCGACAGTATCATTAGCTGATGTTCCGTTTCACGAGAGATCTCTTCCTAATAATTCACATCCTCCCATCGGAAGACTCAGGAATCGGAGTTTTCTAAAACTCTACTTATTTATTGTGTAATCTCTTTCTATCCACGGGCCTGACGACAAGCGGTGAATATTCGCTCCCGACCATTGACATTTTGTATAGAATACCATCTTACCTTATAATAGAGGTTTTTTGTATTTCCCAATGAATGAAAAAACAAAACGAGATTGTTTTTACTGACGTTTCGCTATTTAATGCTAATAGCTTTCTCAAAGTATTATTAAACCGGAATTTACAAAATCTCAGCATATATATAACAAAGAATTAGGGGGTGAGAAAAATATAGACTTAGTTCAACTTAAAAGGACATATTGAAAGTCAAAATAACAATGAAGATCGTTCAAACCAAATATCAAAGGTAATAGTATATCTGTTATTATATCAAAATAAAGTTTACTAACTTGATCATCGTTCGTTACTCTGGGGTCATTTTTGGTTGTCAAGTTCGAGAATAGGTAAAGGTAACCAAACTAAGTGTAGAATGTGAAATACTTGATTATCGTTCGTCAGTATGAGGTCATTTTGGTTGTCATGTTGGGGAGTAGGTAAAGGTAACTAAACTAAGTGTAGGCTGTGAAATACTTGATCATCATTCATCAGTCTGGGTCGTTTTTTGTTGTCAAGTTAGCGAACTGGTAAAGATAGTAAAACCAAGTGTAGATTGTTGGATTTTGTCAGTGTGTAGAATTATGAAAGTAGTGTGCGTTTACATAGTGAACTTGCTCACCACATTTGCGTTGATTTTGCTACTTCATGGGGGAGGGTGTTGTAGCCAGGTTAGATTCTGTTTCAGTCCATCATTCCTATTCAGGCAATTTGGATTCCACTTGATATGAAGTGCTTCTGATATTAGACGTTCTTTGTGGTTTCTGAAGTTTTTCTGGATTATTTCAATATTGTCAAAATCAATTTTGTGGCCTGATTCTATAGCATGTAGACCTATGGCTGATGATTTTTGAAGTTTTTCCAGTTCAACTGGATTTCTTGGTGGTCGAAGAGAAGCTCTACGGTGTTCATTTCTTCTGATTTTGATTTCTCGAGATGTTTGTCCGATGTAGATCGCATCACATTCCGAGCATTTTATTTTGTAGACACAATTAGATAGAGAATCTTTCGGGATTTGGTCTTTTATATGGACAAGGTTGTTTTGAAGTGTGTCCGATGTTTTGAAGAAAACTCTAATGTCGAGTTGATTAAGTACTCTTCTGATATCGTCTGATGTCTCTGCTCTATATGGAATGACGACTGTTGAAGTCCATGTTTTCGGAATGCATTTTCGGCCATACTTAATGTTTGTGTTGATTTTGTTGATGAAGTTCGTTGGGTAGTTGTTTTGCTTGAGAGTTTTAGTGATGTTTGAAATTTCTTCTTCTTTTTCTTGCTCATCTGTTATCAGGGAGTGTGCTCGTCTAAGAAGACTTGAAACAACTGAAATCTTTGCGCTGATGGGGTGTGATGATTTGAAGTCTAAATATTTGTTGGAGTGGGTTTTCTTCCTGAATATGGATATACTAAAATGTCCGTTTTCCTTTCTCTTAACTAGGCAGTCTAGAAATGGAAGTTCACCGATGTCTGATTCTGCTTCCGAAGTGAACTGGATTTTGGGAGATACACAGTTTATTTTCTCCAGGAATGAATTGTGTAGATCCCGTTTTAGTACTACAAAAGTATCATCCACATATCTTAACCATATTTTAGGAGTGAGTATGCTTGAAAAGATATTATTTTCGAATTTATTCATGTAAAGATCGGCGACTATTGGGGAGACTGGTGAACCCATAGCAACACCATTTGTCTGTCTATATAAACTCCCTTTGAATGTAAAATAATTACTTTCCAGACAGAATTTTAGGCTCTTAATTATTTCACTGGTGTCCAGTGGACATCTTTGTGATAGCGTTGTATCTGATTCTAGTAGACTGGAAATGATGTCAAGACTTTCGGTAATAGGGATGCTAGTATATAGTGAGTTAATATCATAGCTTACCATAATGTCTTCTTTATCAATTTCTCGGTGTTCTATTTGGGATTTGAAATCATATGAATTTTTTACAATATTTTGAGTGTCCTTTTGTAGTGGTTGTAGTATCGAGAGTAAGTATTTAGAAAGGTTGTATGTTGGTGAGTTGGTGAAATCTATCACTGGTCTTAGTGGGACTGTGGGTTTATGTATCTTTGGTTGACCGTAGAATCTTGAAGGTATATAAGATTTTGGTTTTAGTGTAAACCAGAGCGAATTTCCAATTTTGGGTTTCATTTCTTGAAGTAGTCTGTTTGTATTTAGTTTCATTTTGTTGAATTCGGCGGATTTCTTCTTCTCTTCAATGAGTAAGTATGGTCCTTCAGATAGGTGTTCAATCGCTTTCTTTTCATAATCCGTTCTGTTCATTATCACAGTGACGTTCCCCTTGTCGGCTTTCGTTATGACGATGCTTTTGTCTTTCTTCAAATTTCTTAAGGCTTCATATTCTTGTTTGGTGAGATTAGATGTTATGTTTCGTTGTGTCATTAATATGTGTGATATCTTTTGACGAGCAGATTGTGATTCTTCATTGGTGAGTTGTTGTAGAGCAGGTTCAATCATAGGTGCTATTTCCTGGACCGATAATGGCTTTCTAGTTATATTGAAATTCAAACCTTTCTGTAGTAATGAGATTTCATTTTCGGTTAGTATCTTGTCTGACATGTTATGTATGGCTCTAATATTCCCCATATCATTTGTTGAGGTTTTCTTTGGTTGTTTCTTTTCTTTGAGTTTCGAGAATTTTTGTATATGTCTTCTTTTAGTGACATTATGAAAATGAGATTCTCGTTCATTGAACAATTTTTGAAAGGATTCATAGATATGATTTGTAACAAGTAATGTTAAGCAGTCATCTATATTTTTGATTCTCATTCGATAAGATTCAAGTTTGATGTTGCATATATGTATACGTTCTCGTAAAAATACTTTGGAGGTATGATTTGCAGCAAGTATGGATTTGTGTGAATATTCAGGAGGTTTAACAAGTAGTGATTTGGGAATAATTCCACTTTGCAGACAGCGTAAATTGAAAATACGATGATTATAAAAGTTACATTTATGTTTCGATAGAGTAATCCGGTTTTTAATTAGATTATATATATCCAAACCAAGTTCACTTTTAACGGTTTGAAAAAATTTGGGCATTGGGTATATGTTAAACCTCCTGAATATTCACACAAATCCATACTTGCTGCAAATCATACCTCCAAAGTATTTTTACGAGAACGTATACATATATGCAACATCAAACTTGAATCTTATCGAATGAGAATCAAAAATATAGATGACTGCTTAACATTACTTGTTACAAATCATATCTATGAATCCTTTCAAAAATTGTTCAATGAACGAGAATCTCATTTTCATAATGTCACTAAAAGAAGACATATACAAAAATTCTCGAAACTCAAAGAAAAGAAACAACCAAAGAAAACCTCAACAAATGATATGGGGAATATTAGAGCCATACATAACATGTCAGACAAGATACTAACCGAAAATGAAATCTCATTACTACAGAAAGGTTTGAATTTCAATATAACTAGAAAGCCATTATCGGTCCAGGAAATAGCACCTATGATTGAACCTGCTCTACAACAACTCACCAATGAAGAATCACAATCTGCTCGTCAAAAGATATCACACATATTAATGACACAACGAAACATAACATCTAATCTCACCAAACAAGAATATGAAGCCTTAAGAAATTTGAAGAAAGACAAAAGCATCGTCATAACGAAAGCCGACAAGGGGAACGTCACTGTGATAATGAACAGAACGGATTATGAAAAGAAAGCGATTGAACACCTATCTGAAGGACCATACTTACTCATTGAAGAGAAGAAGAAATCCGCCGAATTCAACAAAATGAAACTAAATACAAACAGACTACTTCAAGAAATGAAACCCAAAATTGGAAATTCGCTCTGGTTTACACTAAAACCAAAATCTTATATACCTTCAAGATTCTACGGTCAACCAAAGATACATAAACCCACAGTTCCACTAAGACCAGTGATAGATTTCACCAACTCACCAACATACAACCTTTCTAAATACTTACTCTCGATACTACAACCACTACAAAAGGACACTCAAAATATTGTAAAAAATTCATATGATTTCAAATCCCAAATAGAACACCGAGAAATTGATAAAGAAGACATTATGGTAAGCTATGATATTAACTCACTATATACTAGCATCCCTATTACCGAAAGTCTTGACATCATTTCCAGTCTACTAGAATCAGATACAACGCTATCACAAAGATGTCCACTGGACACCAGTGAAATAATTAAGAGCCTAAAATTCTGTCTGGAAAGTAATTATTTTACATTCAAAGGGAGTTTATATAGACAGACAAATGGTGTTGCTATGGGTTCACCAGTCTCCCCAATAGTCGCCGATCTTTACATGAATAAATTCGAAAATAATATCTTTTCAAGCATACTCACTCCTAAAATATGGTTAAGATATGTGGATGATACTTTTGTAGTACTAAAACGGGATCTACACAATTCATTCCTGGAGAAAATAAACTGTGTATCTCCCAAAATCCAGTTCACTTCGGAAGCAGAATCAGACATCGGTGAACTTCCATTTCTAGACTGCCTAGTTAAGAGAAAGGAAAACGGACATTTTAGTATATCCATATTCAGGAAGAAAACCCACTCCAACAAATATTTAGACTTCAAATCATCACACCCCATCAGCGCAAAGATTTCAGTTGTTTCAAGTCTTCTTAGACGAGCACACTCCCTGATAACAGATGAGCAAGAAAAAGAAGAAGAAATTTCAAACATCACTAAAACTCTCAAGCAAAACAACTACCCAACGAACTTCATCAACAAAATCAACACAAACATTAAGTATGGCCGAAAATGCATTCCGAAAACATGGACTTCAACAGTCGTCATTCCATATAGAGCAGAGACATCAGACGATATCAGAAGAGTACTTAATCAACTCGACATTAGAGTTTTCTTCAAAACATCGGACACACTTCAAAACAACCTTGTCCATATAAAAGACCAAATCCCGAAAGATTCTCTATCTAATTGTGTCTACAAAATAAAATGCTCGGAATGTGATGCGATCTACATCGGACAAACATCTCGAGAAATCAAAATCAGAAGAAATGAACACCGTAGAGCTTCTCTTCGACCACCAAGAAATCCAGTTGAACTGGAAAAACTTCAAAAATCATCAGCCATAGGTCTACATGCTATAGAATCAGGCCACAAAATTGATTTTGACAATATTGAAATAATCCAGAAAAACTTCAGAAACCACAAAGAACGTCTAATATCAGAAGCACTTCATATCAAGTGGAATCCAAATTGCCTGAATAGGAATGATGGACTGAAACAGAATCTAACCTGGCTACAACACCCTCCCCCATGAAGTAGCAAAATCAACGCAAATGTGGTGAGCAAGTTCACTATGTAAACGCACACTACTTTCATAATTCTACACACTGACAAAATCCAACAATCTACACTTGGTTTTACTATCTTTACCAGTTCGCTAACTTGACAACAAAAAACGACCCAGACTGATGAATGATGATCAAGTATTTCACAGCCTACACTTAGTTTAGTTACCTTTACCTACTCCCCAACATGACAACCAAAATGACCTCATACTGACGAACGATAATCAAGTATTTCACATTCTACACTTAGTTTGGTTACCTTTACCTATTCTCGAACTTGACAACCAAAAATGACCCCAGAGTAACGAACGATGATCAAGTTAGTAAACTTTATTTTGATATAATAACAGATATACTATTACCTTTGATATTTGGTTTGAACGATCTTCATTGTTATTTTGACTTTCAATATGTCCTTTTAAGTTGAACTAAGTCTATATTTTTCTCACCCCCTAATTCTTTGTTATATATATGCTGAGATTTTGTAAATTCCGGTTTAATAATACTTTGAGAAAGCTATTAGCATTAAATAGCGAAACGTCAGTAAAAACAATCTCGTTTTGTTTTTTCATTCATTGGGAAATACAAAAAACCTTTATTAGAATGAATATCATATACCCAGTGCCCAAATTTTTTCAAACCGTTAAAGGTGAACTTGGTTTGGATATATATAGCATCTTACCTGTTGTAGAGACAGACGATATGTTGTTGAATTTAGGAAATGCATTAAATAATAAATAAGTTATAATCATGATCCTAGTAGAAATATTTAGAACCATTATATATTATTATTATTTATTAATGTTGCCTATTTACATTTGTTGTGTTTGTAGTTGATATTGATTCTATAGTGTATACGATTACGTACGGTGGGTACTCTTCTTCATGATGCTGACGATGATGAGGGAGGCGAATTAACAAGTTCATCTCTACAAAATCATGACAAAGAAGAAAACTATGATGAATGATATTTTGCCAAAGAGATGAAATGATACACTAACTTAGCTGTGTCAGCCTATTCAGTGGTATTCAATGTATGTGATTATGACTTTTTACTGAGTCACAGATTGAAATTAGTCATCGAAGCATTCAACACCGGTGGACCTCACTAGTAGTAGCCAGCAGTGTGGCCTGATTTCCAATGAACTACATCATTGCTACTGTACATTTATAGCTATCGAGATCCTAAGAGTCTTCACACTTCAATTGTACATTTATTTTCTTATTTTTGATTTACAGCTTGATTCCACACCGTATTTTTGGTACAAGTATGGAATTTTCAGCGTGGATGTCGGTAGCCCAAAATTCGCAGGCCGATCATAGATATCGCGTGTGCGTTGGCGTGGGCTCGAACCCCGGACCATGTGCATGGTAGGCGAGGATCCTAACCACTGTGCCACCGACGCGTTCTTATTGCCTAATAATTAATGATGTTAAAAGTCAATCTGAACGAAGAATATTCTTTTCAATAATTTCTCTTCAGGTTCTTAAAATTATAAAATATAATATTTGTGGTCGTTACAATAAAGGCCAGTTATGCTCTTCTTCATGCATATACCATTTCAACTGTTCCTGTGGTTCAAGTTATATAGGGCGTACGATTAGGCAGGTCAGTCTACGGGTTCGAGAACACTTACCAGCTTGGTTCAGAAGGGGGGAAATTAAGTGCATAAAAAGCTTGATCCTGTCACACTTGGTCGATACTGGACATCGCATCGATGTCAACACAGCTTTCAGGGTTATATACCGATCAGGAAACTAAATCCGTATTTCAGGAAGAACTAGCTAAACACATATCTGTGTAAGACAGCTGTGCTCACCCTGGAGAAGCTTGGAAAAATTTCCAGGCAGCCATAGATACAGCTGTAAAAGCTGTGAATAAGGTAAACCCAAATGTGAGTAAAAACCACTGGATCTCCAGCGCCTCATCCGAACTGATAGATGCTAGAAGACTTATTCCGGCGAGCTCCGAATTCAATGAGGAGCGAAAGCTGCACAACGGGAAACTTACGAAAAGTCTCCGCAAGGACCGTGAACAGTGGTGGGCGACAAAAGCCAAAGAGATGGAGAAAGCTTGAGGATAGGCAACACCAGGCAACTCTTTGGACTCATCAGGGAAACGGGTGGGAGAAGACAAATCATTAGTGAGACAATCTCGGAAAAAAATGGCACTATAATTAGCTCCAGGATAGACGACTGGATCGTTGGAAAGAGCATTATGAGGAGCAGTTTAATTTGCCCACAGCCACGCTCAACCTTCCGAGCATCCAACACCTCCCTGAATGGGATATAGACACAGGTCCTCCGTCACTAACTGAGGTTACTAAAGCTGTCACCAATCTGAAACTAGGCAAAGCAGCGGGACCTGATGGAATGACGCCAGAGGTATTTAAGTACGGTGGAGACAGCTTACTGTCCGGATTAACTGAGGTACTAGGCAGCGTCTGGGAATCAGAAGAAGTCCCATCGGGTTGGTGTAAGTCACTGATTATCCCCATATACAAGAAGGGAGACAAGTCTTCCTGTGATAATCACAGAGGGATTAGCTTGACTAATATAGTATCTAAAGTCTTAGGCTCAATAATCATGCGTAGACTGAGTGGTGCTCGGGAAGCACAAACACGAGAGAGCCAGGCAGGCTTTAGACCAGGAAGAGGGTGTATTGATCATATCTTCACCCTCCGACAGATTCTAGAACATAGGCATTCCTACCGGCGTCCAACAGTCATTATATTTCTTGACCTAAAGGCAGCATTCGACTCTGTCGATCGGGAAGTTCTCTGGAGATGCTTGGCTGTAAAGGGAATTCCGAGAGAATATATTGCACTGATTAAGGCACTCTACTCGTACTCATACAGCCAGGTGAGGGCTTACGGCGAGCTGTCATCTGAACTGATGACGACCAGTGGTGTCCGTCAAGGATGCCCATTATCTCCTTTTCTATTCAACTTCATCATAGATGTGTTAATGGACTTAACCCTAGGTGACTTCAGTGACTCAGGGATTGACTTGCTACCGGGGAATAATCTCGTTGACTTGGAATATGCAGACGATATAGTCCTTCTAGGCGAAGACGCTGACGAAATGCAGAGTCTTCTAAACACCTTGAGCCGCAATCTACGAATGTTTGGCATGCGATTCGCTCCCGCCAAATGCAAGATGATGTTACAGGACTGGACTACATCGACGCCTAGTTTAAAAATAGGAAGTGAAGTGGTAGAGCACGTTGACCGCTTCACTTATTTGGGAAGTACCATCAGCCCCAACGGGCTGATCTCTGACGAAATCTCAGCACGAATACAAGGGGCTCGTTTCGCATTTGTTAGTTTACGCCGACTCTGGCGTAGACGAGATGTTCGACTATCGACCAAAGGGCGGGTGTACTGCTCATCAGTCCGCTCCGTCCTCCTTTATGGTTGTGAGACCTGGCCACTGAGAGTGGAAGACATGAAAAGACTAGCTGTCTTTGATCATAGGTGCCTGCGTTCTATTTCCCGTGTAAAGTGGCATAATAAGGTGAGCAACATGGAGGTTAGGCGTCGAGTTCTAGGTAAACAGGGGAAATCAATCGACGAAGTCGTGAAGCTACAAAGACTGAGATGGTTAGGACATGTGTTACGTATGCCAAGCCATCGCCTCCCTCGACGAGCAATGTTAGCGGATATAGGGTCAGGCTGGAAAAAAGCTAGCGGCGGTCAAACAAAAACTTGGCATCAGTCAATGAAATCCACAACAGTTGGTCTAAGCCACGTAGGAAGGTGTAGACTTAGCTAAAGTTATCTTATCGGATAGTGAACATCCTCTTTATTCACAATTGTTTCCTTGTATCTCTTCGGGTAAGACCAGAAGAAATTTCATAAACATTTATGCTCGTACTACAAAATATAAAAATTCGACCGTACCATATTTGGCACGAGTATTGTGTGAAGAGACAAATATCAGAAAAGAACTTTTACAACTTTTAAATCATTAACTAAACTATAAAATGTAATGATGCATATTAATTTATGTGTTATTTGTTATGTTATTTATTTATTATTCACTATGACCTAGCAATGGTGTGATTTTGTTGGGGTTTTATTTTTTCCCATTAACTATCAATATTTTTACATTTTATACATTTATATATTTATAAACAGAGCTAAACCATTGCAATATGTAAAAGAAACGCTGAAAATTCCATGCTGCAAATTGTTATTGTTGTGGAATAAAGTGATTATTATTATTAAATGCTTCTTCCACTCCAGATTGTATTTTTTTGAGACGTCGATCGAACGTTGACTTGTATCGTCTTGCGACAAAGTTAGCTTCCGCTGCATCGTCACAGAAGATTGATAAATAAACTTACGTAGTCTGAAATTCTTCCGGCGGATTCCTGCAGTCTACACAACTTATACGCTATGCATAATAGTAAAAATGGGCAGTACTGTAATAGTTCTAATATAAAACATAGAAGTATGCAATCAATTACTTTTGACACGATCTGCTAGGCTTAAGTCTGCGCGGACATATATCCCCGATCCTTTGAGAATACGAGTTGCTTAGAATAGCATCCCTCTCTTCTTTCGAGTTTAGTACGACTTTGAGGAGACGTACAGGCTGACCTACTGTAGGGTCAGGCCTATGGCCTGTTCTGTATACGCTGTGTATAGTAATGCCTGATACTGTTTGTGGCAGTAGCTTGTCTAAAAGGGGCTTGACCAAGTTAAGGTCATGTTCGAATCTGGCCTTAGGATCGAGGGCCAGTGACTCTTCCACTTTGTGGAGAATGAGAGACCTGTCAGAGAGATCAGGTTTGCTCGCCGTGACTTTCTTGCTCTGCGGCGTAAGTGTGTTTCTATCCTTCTTGGGCGGTGTAGTCCTTATCTCGCTTTTTGCGAGAGACTACATTAAGCCATTCATTGGCGTTCCCCTCGCTAATCGTAGTGGGATTTATCTGTCTGCTGCTCACCGGTGTGGATGAGGCTAG